CAGAAACCTCTCCCATATTTATGTGGGGTGAATTATGGGGTATAGAAACCTCTCCCATATTTATGTGGGGTGGATTATGGGGTACAGAAACCTCTCCCATATTTATGGGGGGTGGATTATGGGGTACAGAAACCTCTCCCATATTTATGGGGTACAAAAGTTGCCATATTTATTATAATAAAATGTAAAACATTAAATATTTCCATTTAATGATCATTCATTACTTATAATGTAAGTTTCATAAACCACCTATTAATATCTTATTTAGTAATGGTTTACACAGTTGATTTAGTCCAAGTAAACTATTTTATACCTTACGTGATGTATCATGTTGAGGAGCACGTCTTCTATGAGGGTCAATAAACAGTAATAGTTTACCCTCAAATACTAAAAGTTTTCTTTGGTAAGTTAGTCATTCAGTCACCAGGCGGCACTACGGGTCAACCTGTGGTGACTAATAGTGGAGAGTTGTTCTTCCTTATTGGATATTCCTTGACAACAACAACAACACGCTTCACCATCTTGTATACTTCCGTCAATTTTCTCGTAAAACAGTTTATTTCTCCTCCTCCTGGACATTACAGCAAGTGTTTGGTGAGTTATTAAGGTGTGTTATATGACCTTGTTTACCTTAATACTGTATTATGACCTTTCCTGCTATGTGGAATGATAAAGATTCATTTTATGCCATAACGGGAAATTGATTACTACAATAGATTTAACTAATGTGTTTTTTATCTTGTTATAAAGGAATATGACCTTTATTTGAGTGGTAGGTTGATACTTATGGAGATATGACCACTTTAACACTAGTAACAGAGGTCAGCAGTGACATAAGCAAGCTTGCGGATGACACCAAAATAGGGCGGCAGATTAATTCAGGTCAGGATGCAAATGAACTATAGGAGGATTTAAATAAACTGCAGGAGTAGTCAGAGAAATGGCCAATGAAATTCATCACGAGCAAGTGCAGCGTACTTAATATTGGAAGAACAAATACTGTCAATGTATACAGCCTTAACAACATCAACCAGTGCGTTATCGTTCGCCAGGCAAAATAGAGTATTGGGTTTTATATCTAGAAGTGTAAGTACAAGAGGAGGTCTGACAACCATATCTTGCGCTTGGCCAGGCCGCATCCTCGATTATGTTCAGTTCCAGCCCTCATTATAGAATGGATATCAATCACCGGAGTCGAAATAAGAATGACGAAATGATCTCGGACGAAACCGCATATCAGGGATAGGGTTGTCGAAACTAAACTGTATTCTTGTGTCAAGAGCAAGGGGAGATATGAGAAGCATTTAAGGGCAGTGAATCAACAAAGGGATATACAAAGTTCTATAATATCCTATAAGGATAGGACCAGAGCAACAGATTTGCTGATAAAGTTTAGTTTAGAGGAGATAGGAAGAAACTGTTTAAGCAAATAGGGTGGGTGGACGAGGAACAAGTTTAGCAACTTTGTAGTAAGTGCTGTTCGGAAAGTTTTAAAAGGAGGCTGGATAGATTCATGGATGATAGAGAGTGGTAGTAACTCTCGACAGGAGCTGCCATGCACAGGCCAACCGGCCTATTGCAGACTCCTTATGTTCTTATGTTCTTATGGTTAAAGATAGGCCAGTCCGTTACTGGGTGACGATGTGTCATAAACCCTCATTAGCTGTAATTAAACCTTTGTAATTACGTTTAGAATATTTTCATTTTACACAAGTTGATTTAGTCACTTGTAGTTTTCATTTATAAATTGTACTTTTTATAAGAATATTATCTAAGGCAAAATATTTTGTTTCAGATACTGTGATGTTACATCTCAAGACCAAGTGTAATTAAGTAGAAGTTCACAATGTCAAGCAGAGATAAAAAGTTCTCCTGTGAGGAATGTGGCAAACAGTTTTGCTTAAAGTCTACTCTTCAGAAACATTTACTTGTGCACAATGGTGTGAAGGAGTTTGAATGTGAGGAATGTGGGAAACATTTGTCATCTAAGAGTCATCTCAAAAGACACATTCTTGGACACAGTGGTGTAAGAAATTTTCAATGTGAGGAATGTGGAAAACATTTTGCACAAAAGAGTACTCTCAAGACACACATTCTTGGACACCGTGGTATAAAGAAGTTTAAATGTGAGGAATGTGGGAAACATTTTGCACTAAAGGGTACTCTCAAAACACACATTCTTGGACACAGTGGTATAAAGAAGTTTAAATGTGAGGAATGTGGGAAACATTTTACAGAAAGGGGTACTCTCAATAAACACATTCTTGGACACAGTGGTGTAAAGAAATTTAAATGTGAGGAATGTGGGAAGCATTTTGCACAAAAGAGTACTCTCAAAACACACATTCTTGGACACAGTGGTATAAAGGAGTTTAAATGTGAGGAATGTGGGAAACATTTTGCACTAAAGTTTACTCTAAAAACACACATTCTTGGACACAGTGGTATAAAGGAGTTTAAATGTGAGGAATGTGGGAAACATTTTGCAGAAAGGAGTACTCTCAATAGACACATTCTCGTACACAGTGGTATAAAAGAGTTTAAATGTGAGGAATGTGGGAAACATTTTGCACAAAAGAGTGCTCTCAAAACGCACATTCTTGTACACAGTGGTATAAAAGAGTTTAAATGTGAGGAATGTGGGAAACATTTTGCACAAAAGAGAACCCTCAAGGACCACATTCTTGTACACAGTGGAATAGGAGAGTTTGAATGTGAGGAATGTGGGAAATGTTTCCCCCGGAAGGGTAAACTCAAACGTCATAAACTTGTGCATGAAAAAAACAGAATTCAATAAATGTTTGAATGACTTTAACAGAAGGTAAATGTGACTCATAAACTTGAATACAGTGATATACATCAATATAAAACCACTTGAACAAACTCCATGAATGTAGCTGAAATAAAGACAAGTGACAAATGCCACTTTTATAGATATTAAACACAAGTTATAATTATCTGCTCTTAAGATGTAAATTTCTTCTACCATGGCCTTAGTACTTTACCATGACATGATGGAATATGTTAGAAAAATAAACTTGTGTTAGTTGAGGGGTATCCTATGAGTCTAGTAGAACTCGTACAATAATGTTGTTAACATGTAATGGTCGCATGTAGTCCCAGCCATGTTGATTTGGCTTGGTCAAGTCAGGTGATGTTGTTGACTTAGTCATGTCCTGTTGTCACTTGTGTATTGTACTAACATGTACTGTACATTACCATCTGTGATGTACTAACATGTACTGTACATTACCAACTGTGATGTACTAACATGTACTGTACATTACCAACTGTGATGTACTAACATGTACTGTACATTACCAACTGTGATGTACTAACATGTACTGTACATTACCAACTGTGATGTACTAACATGTACTGTACATTACCAACTGTGATGTACTAACATGTACTGTACATTACCAACTGTGATGTACTGTACTGTCAGATGCTACTAGGTACATCCCAAGGGCTCTGTGTAATATATAATGTATGTTCTTATGGTAATGTATAACATACATTCATGTTATGCTAATCTGTGTAATTTGTTGTATATATTGAGTTGTTGTATATAATACATAATGGTGGTTGGGTGTGAAGTTGGCTTCTTGTACAAGGTGTTCCAAACTTGGGGTCTTGTGATGTTACTCCAATTATTAACTTATATGTTAATGTTAATTGAAGTAGTTTGAGGTGTCTACTTAATTGTCTTTTATTGTAACTTGTTGTAATTGTCTCATTAATAATTTGTGAATTAATGTAACTGTGATGTTATTAGCCACAATGCTTGGTGGGAGAATTGAGGAGGGAATGAAGGTAGAGAGAACCGGGAGGACTCACTGTAGACCAGACCTGTGTGTCTCGCTGCTTCACACAACTCAGTTGAGTTTAGGTCTGTGTGGATGGTCTTTGTCTGTGTGGATCTATCCTGTGAATCTACCTTGTAAATAATAATTGTACCAAGTACAGAAAGCAGGAGTTGGTGGCTATCCTTTGTCTTCCAGCACTGGTCCCCGTGAACACTTGACGTGCACTGACAACTGTAATAGGCCTCATGGGTTACTTGTTAGTGCTGTCAACTACAAACCCATAAGACACAGGTTCAGTGTTGTGGCCAGGCAGGGTTTGTGGGTCATTATCTTGTGGTGGTCTACACATAATATATGTAATATTACCTTTAATAAAAACATTAAATGATCAAATATATACTTGGCTGCTCACTAATGGTAGAATTAGAAGAGCTGTCATTTAAAACATATAGAATTAAGATAAATTGTTCAAATGTTAAGGTAAATTTTATATCAATATTGTTAATAAAATGTTTGTTATAATTTTGTTTTATTATTCACATGAAAATATTAGGAGGAAAAATAGTTCCTTTAAGATTGACTTATATGTATGAGAGTAATATTTATCTGTCTGTCTTCTTTATTTATCTAACATATTTATGTGGGGTGGATTATGGGGTACAGAAACCTCTCCCATATTTATGTGGGGTGGATTATGGGGTACAGAAACCTCTCCCATATTTATGTGGGGTGGATTATGGGGTACAGAAACCTCTCCCATATTTATGTGGGGTGGATTATGGGGTACAGAAACCTCTCCCATATTTATGTGGGGTGGATAATGGGGTACAGAAACCTCTCCCATATTTATGTGGGGTGGATAATGGGGTACAAAAGGTGCCATATTTATTATAATAAAATGTAAAACATTAAATATTTCTATTTAATGATCATTCATTACTTATAATGTAAGTTTCATAAACCACCTATTAATATCTTATTTAGTAATGGTTTACACAGTTGATTTAGTCCAAGTAAACTATTTTATACCTTACGTGATGTATCATGTTGAGGAGCACGTCTTCTATGAGGGTCAATAAACAGTAATAGTTTACCCTCAAATAATAAAAGTTTTCTTTGGTAAGTTAGTCATTCAGTCACCAGGCGGCACTACGGGTCAACCTGTGGTGACTAATAGTGGAGAGTTGTTCTTCCTTATTGGATATTCCTTGACAACAACAACAACACGCTTCACCATCTTGTATACTTCCGTCAATTTTCTCGTAAAACAGTTTATTTCTCCTCCTCCTGGACATTACAGCAAGTGTTTGGTGAGTTATTAAGGTGTGTTATATGACCTTGTTTACCTTAATACTGTATTATGACCTTTCCTGCTATGTGGAATGATAAAGATTCATTTTATGCCATAACGGGAAATTGATTACTACAATAGATTTAACTAATGTGTTTTTTATCTTGTTATAAAGGAATATGACCTTTATTTGAGTGGTAGGTTGATATTTATGGAGATATGACCACTTTAACACTAGTAACAGAGGTCAGCAGTGACATAAGCAAGCTTGCGGATGACACCAAAATAGGGTGGTAGATTAATTCAGGTCAGGATGCAAATGAACTATAGGAGGATTTAAATAAACTGCAGGAGTGGTCAGAGAAATGGCCAATGAAATTCATCACGAGCAAGTGCAGCGTACTTAATATTGGAAGAACAAATACTGTCAATGTATACAGCCTTAACAACATCAACCAGTGCGTTAATGTTTGAAATAAAGCAGTAGGTAGTAGGCAGGGAGGGACTACCGCCTGGGAAGATATTGGAAGCATAATGTGTTGTCTAATGGTAGACCCTGCTGCCATATGTGACCAAGTCCCAGGTTGATGATCTGTCTTTCTGCCTCAGTTACACACAATTGCAGGGTCTCAATTGTTTCTCTTACTATTGACAAGACAACATACTGTACATATAGCGTTTCTAACTATTGATTATTAATATTTTTTCTTTATTATCATTATTACAGTGTTGTTATTAATATTATTATTGTTATTATTATTTTATTTTACTTTTAATTATAAATTTTATTTACTATGAATTACTATTATTATTATTAAATTTTCGCCCCCAGGCCCCGATGTGGGTCAGTGACCTGTGCCCAGGTGGGCTAATCACCTTAAAAAAAAAAACAAAAAAAAAAACAGAGTATTGGGTTTTATATCTAGAAGTGTAAGTAACAAGAGTGCAGAGGTCTTATTGCAACTATATCTTGCGCTAGTCAGGCCGCACCTCGATTATGCTGTTCAGTTCTGGTGCCCCTATTATAGAATGGATATCAATTCACTGGAGTCGGTGCAGCGAAGAATGACGAAAATGATTCCGGGACCTAGAAACCTTCCATATCAGGATAGGTTAAAGAAACTAAACTTGCATTCCCTAGAAAGCCGAAGAGTGAGGGGAGATATGATAGAAGTATTTAAGTGGGTGAAAGGAATCAATAAAGGGGATATAGATAAAGTTCTTATAATATCCGAGCAGGATAGGACTCGTAGCAACAGATTTAAGTTGGATAAGTTTAGGTTTAGGAGGGAGCTAGGAAGGAACTGGTTTACAAATAGGGTGGTGGACGAGTGGAACAAGCTTAGCAACTTTGTAGTAAGTGCTGGAACGCTGGAAAGTTTTAAAAGGAGGCTGGATAGATTCATGGATGATAGAGAGTGGTAGTAACTCTCGACAGGAGCTGCCATGCACAGGCCAACCGGCCTATTGCAGACTCCTTATATTCTTATGTTCTTATGGTTAAAGATAGGCCAGTCCGTTACTGGGTGACGATGTGTCATAAACCCTCATTAGCTGCAATTAAACCTTTGTAATTACGTTTAGAATATTTTCATTTTACACAAGTTGATTTAGTCACTTGTAGTTTTCATTTATAAATTGTACTTTTTATAAGAATATTATCTAAGGCAAAATATTTTGTTTCAGATACTGTGATGTTACATCTTAAGACCAAGTGTAACTAAGAAGAAGTTCACAATGTCAAGCAGAGATAAAAAGTTCTCCTGTGAGGAATGTGGCAAACAGTTTTGCTTAAAGTCTACTCTTCAGACACATTTACTTGTGCACAATGGTATGAAGGAGTTTGAATGTGAGGAATGTGGGAAACATTTGTCATCTAAGAGTCATCTCAAAAGACACATTCTTGGACACAGTGGTGTAAGAAATTTTAAATGTGAGGAATGTGGAAAATGTTTCTCCCAGAAGAGATATCTCAAGGCACACATTCTTGGACACAGTGGTATTAAGAATTTTGAATGTGAGGAATGTGGGAAACATTTTGCAAAAAAGGGTACTCTCAAAACACACATTCTTGGACACAGTGGTATAAAGAAGTTTAAATGTGAGGAATGTGGGAAACATTTTACAGAAAGGGGTACTCTCAATACACACATTCTTGTCCACAGTGGTGTAAAGAAATTTAAATGTGAGGAATGTGGGAAACATTTTACACAAAAGGGTACTCTCAAAAGACACATTCTTGGACACAGTGGCATAAACGAGTTTAAATGTGAGGAATGTGGGAAACATTTTACAGAAAGGGGTACTCTCAATACACACATTCTTGGACACAGTGGTGTAAAGAAATTTAAATGTGAGGAATGTGGGAAACATTTTGCAAAAAAGGGTATTCTCAAAACACACATTCTTGGACACAGTGGTATAAAGAAGTTTAAATGTGAGGAATGTGGGAAACATTTTACAGAAAGGGGTACTCTCAATACACACATTCTTGTCCACAGTGGTGTAAAGAAATTTAAATGTGAGGAATGTGGGAAGCATTTTACACAAAAGGGTACTCTCAAAAGACACATTCTTGGACACAGTGGTATAAAGAAGTTTAAATGTGAGGAATGTGGGAAACATTTTACAGAAAGGAGTTCTCTCAAAACACACATTCTTGTACACAGTGGTATAAAAGAGTTTAAATGTGAGGAATGTGGGAAACATTTTGCACGAAAGAGTGCTCTCAAAACACACATTCTTGTACACAGTGGTATAAAAGAGTTTGAATGTGGGGAATGTGGGAAATGTTTCTCCCGGAAGGAAACTCTCAAATGTCATAAACTTGTGCATGAAAAAAACAGAATTCATTAAATGTTTGAATGACTTTAACAGAAGGTAAATGTGCCACATAAACTTGAATACAGTGATATACATCAATATAAAACCACTTGAACAAACTCTATGAATGTAGCAGAAATAAAGACAAGTGACAAATGCCACTTTTATAGATATTAAACACAAGTTATAATTATCTGCTCTTAAGATGTAAATTTCTTCTACCATGGCCTTAGTACTTTACCATGACATGATGGAATATGTTAGAAAAATAAACTTGTAAGTGCTGAGGGCATCCTATGAGTCTAGTAGAACTTGTACAATAATGTTGTTAACATGTAATGGTCGTGATGTAGACCCAGCCATGAAGTTGATTTGGCTTGGTCAAGTCAGGTGATGTTGTTGACTTAGTCATGTCCTGTTGTCACTTGTGTATTGCATTAACATGTACTGTACATTACCATCTGTGATGTACTAACATGTACTGTAGCATTAAATTAATCAGATGTACTTAAAATTTTATGACATTAACTGATGTACTAACATGTACTGTACATTACCAACTGTGATGTACTAACATGTACTGTACATTACCAACTGTGATGTACTAACATGTACTGTACATTACCAACTGTGATGTACTGTACTGTCAGATGCTACTAGGTACATCCCAAGGGCTCTGTGTAATATATAATGTATGTTCTTATGGTAATGTATAACGTACATTCATGTTATGCTAATCTGTGTAATTTGTTGTATATAGTGAGTTGTTGTATATAATACATAATGGTGGTTGGGTGTGAAGTTGGCTTCTTGTACAAGGTGTTCCAAACTTGGGGTCTTGTGATGTTACTCCAATTATTAACTTATATGTTAATGTTAATTGAAGTAGTTTGAGGTGTCTACTTAATTGTCTTTTATTGTAACTTGTTGTAATTGTTTCATTACTAATTTGTGAATTAATGTAACTGTGATGTTATTAGCCACAATGCTTGGTGGGAGAGTTGAGGAGGGAATGAAGGTAGAGAGAACCGGGAGGACT